GGGCGGGGCGCAGGACGCCTTCCTGCCGGCCGAGGAGCCTCTTCGAGCCACCCAGGACGTGTCCATGACCCTCACGCCCATGCTGGCGAGGGACACAAAGACACCCGCTTACCCACGCGTGACCAGGAGCACGCGCCCTCCCCCGCGCGGCGGACACATTCAAGCACGTCCGCCGGGAGAACAACAGCGCAGCCTTAGCACCCTCCTGGGCCCGGGGAAGCGAGGCCGGGCCGGGGCGCTGCGACCCGCACGGCCGCCCGAGGCCGCCCCGGGCCCGGCCGCACAGCAGCAGCCCCCGGCGCGCCGGGCGGCTCCGCTTCCTCCCTCTGCCAAAGCCAGCTGGCCTCAGGACCTGCGTGTGGAGTCCAAGCTCGCCCCCAGAGCAGAATGCAGCCTCTCTGGGGGCACTCACTCCCAACCCCCGAGTGGGAGATGGAGGTGGGCAGGATGGGGGCGGGGGGCGGCAGCGGAGCAGCATCGCACTAGAACGTGGCACTGACCAGCGGGAGACCTCTCAATCTAAATATGCGTCCTTCTTTTTTGTCACTTGGGGTCTAGGGCACGGGCCCGACTCAGGACTCCTGCACTAGCCCGGGGACCCTGGCCGAGCTACAATCTCTGCTGGCCACACCCGCGGGTCTACTCGGCAGGTAAGGGGCTGACCATGCCTATGGTCACTCCGGGCTGCGATTTGGTTTCAACCGCGGAGACCCAGCTCCCGTTAAGTCGGCCAAGCAACCAAACACGGCACATCCACTCTCTCGCAGAGCTCACTAAACGCATGGCTTGCTTTGTTTTCAGAGATTGAACATGGCCTCGTAGCTACCCGAGGATACCGTACCTTTGGATTTTCCTAAGGCTGCAGGGACAGAAACATACAGATATTAGTGTCAAAAAAACTATGCCTTCCTTTGGACATCCAGGTTGTCTTGTCAAGCTCAGGGTGTGAGCGTGAGGCTTTTGCTGTGCCACGAATTTGATTCGATTTAGTTGGCCTCTCTAGTTAAAGGGACTCTTCTGTTTGAAGGGGTGAAGTTCCTATCCTTTATTCCAACATGAATAAAGAGAGAAGCTGGAGAGCGGATACTGGTGTGTGTAGGGGTAGGGGTGTTGGGGGTGGGGGCGGAGAGGGTGTCCTAAGGGGGGAATAAAAGTCAGAACTAGCTGACTTCTGCTGGCTTCCAAGTTACATGATTTGGAAGCCTATTCTTTCTTTCCTCTGGTCTAGGAGCTAACTGGTACTGTGGTATGAAGTCAAGACCTTCACTGACAAAGCCAAGACCTGACCTTTGCCGTACTGAGGGAGACACAGACATTCGAGCAGGGAGGAGACCTTCCGGCATCTGTGTCTGCTGCGGATAGACAGGCACAGTGGGGTGTGGGTAGAGGGTGATCAGGTGCTTACTCTGCCCCACACCGGTCAGAGGCACAGAGCTCGTACACTATGAATTCTGCCCACCCAGCAGGGCATTTACCTTAGAGACCAGCAGCAAGATCCAACAAACCAACAAAAAAGGTGCAGGTTTGGAGATGAGCTGTATCGGGTAGGATTTGGGTCCTTTAAGGAAGCGAGCCATGGCGTACAGCCCGCAGCGAGATGGCAGTTAAATGACAGCCTCCTGACACTTTTCATGTCCTGTCATTGTTACTATTTCTCACCTCCCTTGTATGGCTCCGAGGAGGCACCTGGGGAGTTGGGGGCGGGGGTTCTGGGGGCTGGGTCTCTTTCCAGGACCCACTAGTTCTCAAGTCCTCTTGGGTCTGCAGACCCTCCGCCAATAAATAAGCAGGAGCTCCAGAATCACTCTTGGGGGCCAGGCAAAATTCAGGGAAAAGGTCCAGTTGCATCCCCTGACATTTAAAGGGGACTGCAAGGGACTATCAAACTATGGGCTTCCGAATTTATCAGGATGAAAAGCGCCAACGAGCTTCATATTCCACTTGGGGGAGGGAAGTGGAAGCACTTAGCTGCACTGGTGAGCGAGGATGACATGCATGCAAGATGTCCGCGATGGTGATCAACAGAAGGAGCCCTGTCGGTCTTACCCCATTTTCCTTACCCTATGCTCTTTCCATTCGGGGGTGGGGGTGGGGAAGCACCATGTGGGCATGGGCTCCAGGATCAGGGCTCCTGGGGGATGCCTTCTACTTCCAATGGCATCTTCAAGCATCAGAAAGCTCAGACACCAGGCGCCCTGGTGATCCGGTTTACCAAGCAAAGGGGCCAGCTAGGGCATGGGGGACACACTGAGCAAGACCCGGGAAGTACCCGTGGCAAAAATCAGCAACCAAGAACCAAGAGCTGAGCACACACTTCTGCTTTTACAAAGACACTGCTGTGCCGCGTGCAATCCCCACTTTCCCCGCTGAAACTCCTTTCTGAGGGGAGGTGGCTCCTCACGTTCCTACTGCACGTGCATCAAACATTCGCCGATCTTTTTGAAAAGCAGTACAAATCTTTACAAATCAACCACAAAGGCAGTGCTCTTGGGGGGGACTCAACGCATATTTGCTTTCAGGGGAAAAAATATTGGTATAAATAAATGGAATATTTAAACGTTTGAATGTTTACATAAAACCCAACCCAAAGACAAAAATGGTAAAACTGCTTGGCACACTGCCACAGAGGGAAAGCTATTCAAAGATGGGAGGAATACAACCCAAAGGTTACAGAAGTTTCTGCTGTTTTATCACAGACAGAAGCAACAGTTGTCAGAATCAAGAAACTGATTGTGTTTACCAAGAGAGGAGTGAAATGGAAGTATAATTAATCAAACACTGCTGACTCCATTAGAAGTCACTGCCCAGATCTCTCAGGCCAGTCTGGATGTCCAAGATTTCCCGTGGCCCAGTGCTTCCTGGAGAAAACTTAGAGGAACTGGTTTTCAGACCCCTTCAGAGATGAATCCAGGGCAGAGCAAGAAGCCAGAGGCCGGGAAGAAGCTCTATTAGAAGCAAAGGGTTTGGAAATTAATAAGCAGGAGGCAGGAGTATGTTCCAGAATCCTGGAAGGGACCTCAGGGCAAGCCTCGCTTCTGGCTTTTTCTGGGTCCTGTGGGAGGTGGGAGCAAGGAGGCAGGAAAGGAAGTGCCCGCATTTGGCCCTGGGATGCCTGTCTCCCACTCCTGTCTTTTAGGGTAAAGAGCCAAGGGGGCAGGGAATTCAGAGTTCTCAGCCACTCATCATTGGGATGTATGGAGGGGGGACCCAATGACAATTCCTACTGATGCACAATCTGCCCTGTTGAACTCCTCCTAGTCTACCGGAACCTTATATTTGTATGGAACTTATCATACGACACACTTTGTAGCTTTCCTAACAGATGGTATCGGGGAATGGGTTCTGGAACCACCCAAGCCTCTAGACCCAGTTAAGCCACTCTTCATCTACAGAATGAAGCTAATACCTCCCATCCCATTTCCAGCGTTGCTGTGAAGGTAATTTACCAGCAACTGAGTGGTAAGATACATTTAGCATGCTCTTGGACCCTTAACCTGGGGAAGGAAGCCAAGCGGCCACTCAAGGGGCCACGGTGATGGGTGAGGGGTGGGAAACACAGGGTGTGCCCTATAAGAAGTCCATCTGGCTATGCCAATGGCATTTTATGGGGTTGACAAGTTGGAGAACATAGAGAATCATGGGGCACATTCATGGAGGGAAGATAGAGGCTGGGTAGCTGGACTGTGAGGAGCTGGAGTGGCAGCTAGGCAATGGGGTGACCCACTCCCTGTCCTGCTCACTCCAATGCTCCAGGGGAGCAGCACTGCCCTCTGGAAGAAGGGATTTGGGGTTTGAATCCCAGATTTTCTCATTACTGTGTGACAGGGATGAGTTACTGAACATCTAGTTTCCTCTGATGGTTCTCTGTAAAATGGGAATAATAGTGACCCCTCCTCCTTAGGGTTGCAAAGAACAAAAACAGTGTGTACAAATTACTAAGCACCTGCTAAGAAGCCAACAAGCGGCAGGCTTGATGATGATAATGCTCTGTCCTAATAGGTGCCAAGTACAGTTTTGTTTTGTTTTTTTGTAATCCTCACGGAGAAAGAAATAGATCGTGAACCTAAGCCTAAAACAGGCTGACAGGAGGGGGACAGAAGCATACGGTGCCCGTGAATCAGGCTAGCGGGAGATGGAGACACTGGGAAAACCCCCATCTGGGTCATGCCACCTGGGTTTACAGGATCTGCCACGAGACTGTCTTCCCTTCTTAACAAAACACCGAAGATTGGGAGGCGGGGGGTTCTCTGGTAGAAGGGGACCGAACAAGGAAGAGAGTCCCCCTTTTTCCTAGCTTCCTGAGTCTTTCAGGAATCTGGTGAGATGGGCCACTGTGGGTTTCAGAGGAGGGGAAAGCATCCATGGAGGACTCTAGGCTTACGGAACAGAAAAACAAAGAGGGGATCCTCTTCTTTCCTGAAGTCTTACCGCCTAGCCCAGGGCATCTGCGCAGGAAAGAAGGGCCGAACCAGAAAGGTCTCATCTTGGCTGAAAGGTTCTTTGGGAAACAAAACTTATGATGGGGAGCAGGAGGCTCAGGTAGAAACGGCCACAACCCTTCACCCTACAGAAGGCCAGTCCTTCACAGTCCTCGGCCAGCCCATGTTGGCTTTGGTGTATTTTGTGCTTGTGAAACTGGCCCGATCGCCCGTGGGTGGGTGGAGATGGACAGACAGACGTTCATGGCGTTCTTAGCGTGATGGCAAAGGAAGGGGCCGGGCAGAGTTCCTCCTGGAGAAGCACGCCCAGACATGTCGCCATCTTAAAAACAGGACAATGGCACTCAAAAACCTAGTCTGTGTCCTCGAAGCAGCTGACGTTTCCCACAGGCTGGGCATTTTTCTGAATGCTTCCTAAGTAAGATTTTACTTAATGCTCAAAACAAACTCTTAGTTCCCCACTTTGCATCTAAAGAAACGGAGGCATGCAGAGGGTAAGTCACTTCCCAAGGTCACGTGGCCAGAATTTGAACTCGGAAGAGAGCCCAACCCCCAAAGTTCATCCTTTGCATGTCCATAATAGGGCTCTTTCACGTAAGGGGGATTCTTCTCCCACAAGGCACGTGGACAAGGGAGTAGAAAGGTCAGACCTAGAAATGTCTCCCCTGATGCAGGAAATGAAGTGGTATTCCTGTTGTAAAGTCTGTAACCTGGTAGGCCACACAGGGAAAGCATAAGATCCAGAACCTTAAAAATTAAGAGACAAAGGACTGCACCAGTGGAAGGAAGAAGGAAGAAAAAAGCCCAAATCTGAAAGAGAGAAGATCAGGCATCTACGTAAAGAACACTTTTATCACGGAGCAGAAGTTTGCTGTGAACCATTCTAGGGAATGGATCGTCAAGATTAGCAGGTGCTTTTTGCTTTTTTCCCCTCTGTAGGACAGACATCTGCCACGCTGCTTTTGAATCCTGATCAGGAACAAGCCTAGCCAGAGGTACTAACTAAAATATGGTTTTGAAATACACAAGTCTAGAGAGATCTGGATTGCTGTTCTAAAAAGCAGTTACATTTGGCAAAGGCCAGCCAAGAGAGAGGAGACAAGAAACGCATCTGCCATCAGATGGCAGAGCCTGGGGAATTTGGGAAGGTCCCCAAGCATCCGCTGAAGACTTGTAAGTTCAGGGAATGTTTAAGATAAACTTGGGGGCCAGGGAGCAGTGGCAGGGGCCTGTGGGGCCCCCAGATGGTGAGGGACAGGAAACCTGAACATCCTAAGACTTAGCCTTGCCTACACTCACCTGGGAAAGGCCAGAATCAGTAATTTCCAGTTCACCGGGGATAGATAATTCCTTTCTTAAATACATAACAATGAAGTTTCTTCACCTCCCCAGTGCAAATAAAGGCTGGAGTCCTCTGGCC